ATACCCTCAAATAGAAAATCATAGTCCCAGTAAAACCTTCCCACATCCACTCTAGAAGAATTTAGCATTTTTTTAATTAAAAAAAATTTTAATGTTTATTTATTTTTGAGACAGGAGACAGAGCATGAGTAGGGGAAGGGCAGAGAGTGAGGGAGACACAGAATCCAAAGCAGGCTCCAGGCTCTGACGTATCGGCATAGAGCTGGATGGATGCAGGGCTCGAACCCAGGAACCATGGGATCATGACCTGAGCCGAAGTCAGAAGAATTTAGCATTTTTAATCCATAGCCAGTAACACATTTCTTTCCTCTGGTACTTAAAACAGTGCACGTTGTCTGGAGGTATAATTGTCTCTCCCATATGTCTGGGCTGTGTATGTTCTAATCACCTAGAAAGTCTAAAATATGCTGATGCCTGGGCTCCATTCCAGACCAAGAGAAATCAGAATCTCCAGGTTGGGGTCTGGGCATAGGCATTTTCAAAATGCTCTTCCATAATTTCATATGCAGCCAGAGTTGAGAACCACTGTACAAAATGGTGAGCTACCACAAGGCAAATAACATAGCTTCTCTCTGCAACTCTAGTTATTAGCAAAGATTACTGTGGAATCAATAGTTGTCAAATGAATGAACTATGAACCGTAATAGAAATATAAAGAATAATTTACGTAAGGCTATTAGAAAATATTGTGAGATAAACAACTATATATTAATCTAATGACTTCTGGTTAATTGGACAGGTTTATTTAACCCCATCAAGCACATAAAATGACTAGAACCTCACGTCTAACTAAGCAGTTTTCCCAATTGTGGTAAACTTGGCCTTAAAAGAAATATAGATGGCCCTGCAAAAATACGGACATTAAGGCAGTTCATTAGCATGGTCTCTAACCGAGTCCAAAAGACAGACCTCCAAAGACCCCTCAGATAATGTAGATATATTTCAAGGTTGTTATCCTACAGCTGTCAAGCCCAGCCTCTCCTTGCCTTCTGCTGTGTAATTTATACTTGAGACTGGCATGAGAGTTTTTTATTAATGTTTGTCAAGCAACACTCTCTGCTCTCTTGTAATTACGCTGCCTGTTAGTAGCATTAACTACAAACATATCTCTTGGTTTTCACTTGTTAATTTGTGCCTCTCCTATATTTAGAGATAGCAATAGATGTAGTCATAAGATCAGAAAATTGCTGATGGTCAGGGGAGTTCATGAAGGTATGCATCCCTTTGCCTGTAATTAATCTGCAATGAACTAGTGTCACACAGTGGAAATATCACAAAAGAAGCTCTGGGTTTGAGTTGGTCCCTGTCACTTACCCTGCGTCCTTGGACACCTAAGCTCACCTCTTTATACTTTGCACCACCCCTCTCAAAAATGGAAGGTAATAATGAAATCTATTTCAAATGCCCAGCAGAGTTATTGTGTGGATAAAATAAGATGATAAACCATAAATACCTATGCTAATACCCTTGCTTCATTCATTCAGTTGCAAAGACTGCCTACACACCCAGGTACTAAAGGGATACAAATAATGATTCTTGTTACCATTGTTATTATAAGGACCATACTATTGATACTATTGAAATGAAGCCCTTCTGACATCTTGTGATGGTTAATTTTACAAATCAACTTGATGGGGCAGCAGGGTATTTAGATATTTGGTAAGACATTATTCGGGGTGTGTCAGCGAGGGTGTTTCAGGGTAAAATTGACATTTGAATTTCTAGACTGAGTAAAACAGATTTTGTCCTCGTTAAGGTGGGCGGGCCCCATCCAATCAGTTGAAGACCTGTAGAGAAGAAAAAGGCTGAATAAAAGGAAATTTCTTTCTGCTTGACCGCACTGGCTTTGGACATTGTTTTTTTTTTCCCCCTGCCTTCAGACTTACACTGAAGCAACAGCTCTTCCTGGGGCTGAAGCCCACCAGCTTCTGGACTGGAGCTTCACATCAGTTTTCTTGGGACTCCAGCTGCAGACCTTGAGACTTAATAGCTTCCATGATTGGGGAAGCCAGTTCCTTATAAGTCTGTGTGTGTATGTATATATAAATGTTATATATATATGTGTGTGTGTGTGTGTGTGTGTGTGTGTGTGTGTATTTTTTAAACATATAAACAAAACCAATAGAATGTGTGTGTGTGTGTGTGTGTGTGTGTGTAGGTACACTTACATCCTATTGGTTTTGTTTATACACACACACACACACACACACACATCATATTGGTTCTGTTCTTCTGAGGAACTCTGACTAAAACACGTCTATACGTCTATAGCAATATAAACACTTTTGGGAGAGGGGGGTGCTTCAAGGATAGTCTTTAACTAAAATTTCTTACACTGATAGAAATGTTTTCAGTGCATCCAATAGAAGTTGCTATGTGAGTCAGTGGTTATTGGAATCCACCGGCCAGCTTTAAAAACATCAATTCCTAGTCTTGTGACTGGCTCTTATGAATTAGTACCTTAAGGAGGCAGAGCCCAGGAATCTGGATTTGGTTTTTTTTTTTTTATTTTTTTTTTTAATGTTTTTATTTTATTTTGAGAGAGAGACAGAGTGTGAGAGGGGAAGGGGCAGAGAGAGAGGGAGACACAGAATCCGAAGCAGGTTTCAGGCTCTGAGCTGTCAGCGCAGAGCCTGACGTGGGGCTCGAACTCACGGACTGTGAGATCATGACCTGGGCCGAAGCCGGACGCTCAACCGACTGAGCCACCCAGGTGCCCCTTTTAATTATTTTTTTAAGCTTATCTATTTATTTTGAGGGAGAGAGCAAGCAGGATATGGGCAGAGAGAGAGAGGGGAGAAAGAGAATCCCAAGCAGGCTGCATACTTTCAGCCAGAGCCCGACACAGGGCTTGAACCCATGGACTGTGAGATCATGACCTGAGCCAAAATCTAGAGTGGGATACTCAACCGACGGAGCCACCCAGGTGCCCCAGGAATCTGGAAACAGTCTACCCAGTATTTCATCTGACTAACCACATTTGGGAACTTTCCACCTAAGTGGCTTGACTGACAGAACTCGAAACCAAGGATCTCCGCTGGTGTTTGAAATCCCATCACCTAAGGTTCGTACATGTGGTTTCTGTTTTGTCTCCTGCTAAATGCAGACAAGCTAGAAAGATAATATATAAGGCCTTTAGCCATAAATTTAGGGTATATTTATCCTGAATTCAGCTCTGATAATGTTCCTTCTGCATCCAAACACCTTCAAGGTCTCCCCATTGTCTACTTAATAAAATCCAATCTTCTTCCAATGGTATCCAAGTCCTCCCAAAATATGACCTCTGGATAACTGCAAGACCATTGTTCACCACAATCACCCACAAACACCTCACAGTCCAGCTACCACAGAGGCTGCATGGGTCCTGTTTTCACCTCCGCCTGGAGGGCACTGTTACTCCTGGCCACCATCCTCCAGATTTTAGGTCGAACAGCATGTTATTCTTACAACTTCTCTAATAACTCTCTTACAGACTGCTTTATACCTAGGCACCAGGGTACGTGCCTCGCCTCTTGACCGGGAACTTCTTGAAAACAGAGGTCTGCTCTCCATGTCTGAGTCCCCAGAGCTCTGAATTTGGCACACGGTGAGATTCACACATATTAATTGAGTTGATTCAGACTCTTTTCGTACACGGACACCAAAAGGGAAAAATGAGGAAGTTGGACATTTAGCTGCAAAATTTCAAATGCTACGGAAAGACAGCATACTGTGCAGGCCAGACAGCACAGTGTGTTGGCGGGAAGCAAAAGCTTCGCCGAGATGGATGTGGGTTCGAGTCGTACCTCTCCTACTTATTAGTGATGTGATGGGTCAAGCTACTTCACCTTTCAGTGTCTCAGTTTCTTCGTCTGTAAGTGAAGACAATGATGGTATTACCTGACAAGGGCTGTCGTGAGGTTTAAACATGCTGAGAGCTTGGCATGTCAACAGAAAGTACCGTATTCACATTAATAAACTGTACTTGTTATTGGGTCTTTCTTATTATTTTGCAACATTTGGGCAAGTGAGCACAGGCCTGGACAGTGGAAAATCCCTAATGTATAAGTAAGTAGAAAAGTGGAAGGGTCCTAAGGCTAGCTTATCTGGTGGGCCATGTCCATTTGTGAAGGGTATTTACCTCGGGGGCGGGAGGGGCAGGGAGGGGGAACAGCCAGAGCGTTATCGTCTTCTTCCATGAGTTGCCTCTCTTCTCTGATGGATTTCCTTAAGGAATATAGATCCACAGGAGATTTATGTGTGTGCTCTGTTTCCCAATACTTAACGCAACTTATTTGCCACCACTAAGCATTCATTCTTTTCCTGGAGGTCAATTCGCAAGGTGCCTGCTCCTGCCAAGGGCAAGATTGATAGAGCAGCAGCTGCTGACTTGATGGCTAATGTACATGAGGCCGGCCTCCTCTTTGTCTCTGGACTAGAAGGACAAATGGGCCAAACTCAATCCTTGGAATTGAAAAGTGATCTTAGATACCATTTTGTCCAATCCACTGTCTGGATATCTGACAAAGCTCAGGCCTAGATCAGAGAAAATAACTTAGAATACGGTACAGACCTGTGGTTGCCAAACGCCACTTGTCTGTGACAAAGACAACCTGTTCTGGATGAAATGAGAAAAGGGAGGCCAATGTTGCAAGGCTTTCATAAAAGTGAATGGGTTGGATATTTTTTAATGTTGATTTATTTTGAGGTGGGGGGGGTGGGGAATAAGCGTGCACACAAGCTGGAGAGAGGCAGAGAGAAAGGTAAAGAAAGAATTCCAGGCAGGCTTCATGCTGTCAGCACAGAGCCTGACACGGGGCTCAATCCCATGAACCGTGAGATCATGACCTGAACCGAAACCAAGATTCGGATGCTTAACCAACTGAGCCACCCAGGGGTCCCTGAATTGGATGGATTTTTGTAATCCAAAGTTAAATTCTTCATACTTTTATAATATTAAGATTACTTTTCTTCATAAGACCATGATGGTTAATGCCAACTTCTCTCTTTAATGACCTTACCTGGGTAAATAAATGTAGATAACTCTATGTCCTTCTCCACTGTTTTGTTGTTGTTCCTTCAGTCGGCTGTTTTACTGGTCTACAAATTCCCCAAGAGTTTGGTACTCTCTAATGTCAAGATTGAGAACAGGAGCTGTGGAATCAGAAAGGCCTGAAATGTTATCTTTGTTCTTCTTCCAAGTTGTATGACTTTGAAAAATTCATTTAACTTCTCCATGTCTCTAAAATGATAACAATAGCAATAATGCCTATTTTACCGGATCACTGTGCAATGACGAGATACCAGATGGCATGTGGTTAGCACTGGGCCTGGCACAAAGATGATGATAGTGGGTGGTTAAATAGGTTTTTCAGAAGTCAATCATGTAGATAGAATGTTTAAATGAAGAGCAGACTCATAAGGAACAAAAAAGCATTTAATTTCTCCATGTGAGATTATTCCTAGATGTAGCCTGTATGCTTTGAAAACTGCTGCTGTTGGATTCAGACAGAATGGACTTACATGCTACTAACCTGAGCCAGTTTCTGGTCTAATGATTTTATTTATTTTTTTATTTTATTTTTTCAACGTTTATTTATTTTTGGGACAGAGAGAGACAGAGCATGAACGGGGGAGGGGCAGAGAGAGAGGGAGACACAGAATCGGAAACAGGCTCCAGGCTCCGAGCCATCAGCCCAGAGCCTGACGCGGGGCTCGAACTCACGGACGGTGAGATCGTGACCTGGCTGAAGTCGGACGCTTAACCGACTGAGCCACCCAGGTGCCCCAAGGTCTAATGATTTTAAATAAGGCAATTAACTTCTCTGAGCGCCTGTTTCCTCGTACAGTAGAAGATAGTCTCCCATTATAGAACATCAACACAGTAGGCATTTTACACACATCCTTATGTAACATACACAGCAACCGCATAAAATAGATACAGTTGATTATTGCTATTTGTAGTAATGCTCTATAAAGCTGCGTGAACCCTGAGCCATTGCTCCTAGGGGAAACACAGGGTTAGGTTCCTATGAGCCTCTGGTCACCACAATTTAATCAATCAATCAATACCTACCTTGATTTATGTGTGTTTCTTTTTAAAGACACTCTATTTAATATATAGTTGATTCATTAACATTGAAATCATGGCCAACAGTACTAGAACACACTCCTGAATGAAACGTGTCTAACGTGTATTTTCTCACAGCCGTCTTCTGCTTAGGAATACCAGGTAATAGTTCAGCACTACACTTGGGGTTAAACCGTGGGAAACAGTGAGATCGCCAACAGAAGGCACAAAAATGTGAAATAAGTGGTGCTGAAAAGGTTTCACAAAGGATACCTGTGAATACAGGATACAGTAGGACAGCTAAAACAAGAAGGCAGAACAGTGCCTGTGGACCTCAGCTGGGAGTATGTGTGTCAGGCAACTCCTATTTTGTTGCTCTGTTCATGGTGCATGTCTGCTAATGAGCACAAAAGCACCACAAGTATTGAATCTGGGATTACAAATAAATTTTAGTGGGTAGCTGTATTTGCAAATAAAGAATCTGCCAAAGAAGAAGAAGAAGAAGAAGAAGAAGAAGAAGAAGAAGAAGAAGAATCACCTGTGCTATTCTGTTCACAGCTGAGGACTCTGATGCTCAAAGAACTTATTTTATAAAACTAGCTAATGGCGAAGTTGATTTGAAATGGGCACATGTTTTCAAAGAACATTCACACATTCTCCGTTATTAACCCCAGCATCTAGCGCTGCTTATATCCAAGTTACTCTACCTATGCAACAGGAGGGGTTTAAATAGCTACCTCACAGAAAGACGGTGAAGATCAAATTAGCTGATGCCCTTGGAGGTGCTTTGTAAACTGTAGAGCATTACACAAATGTGAGAGTTTCATAAGTAGATTCAATTAGAGTGAAGTTTCTCTATCCACTATTAAGGCTGACTATAATGAGCGCCCTCATTCTTCCACAGTTGAAAGAGACCAAGATGAGAACCAGGACCTTAAGAGGTCCAGGGCTGGATAGCCCTTATCCCAGCAAGCAATGTGAAGCTGATGATTCAAGCTAATTCAACAGAGCCTCAGTGGGATTGCTCTTCTGGGATTCGGAGAGCCAAAGAAGTGCTTACAGTATATTTTAGCTAAAAGATCAAAATGCAGGTTGAATGCACTAAAAAAAAGTGTTTCTGATGTCAAGTCCACTTATAGTCACTGTTATGAAAATCACCCAGACTGGCAAAAAAAAAAAAAAAAAATCAACAGGAACAGCATTAGTCAGCACTATTAGTCAGTGGCTATTGGCAAGTGGGAGTATTATCTCAAAAACAGTCCTGAAGGGGCGCCTGAGTAGCTCTGTCTGATTTCAGCTCAGGTCATGATTTCTCATGGTTTGTGGGTTCAAGCCCTGCACCGGGCTCTGCGCTGACAACTTGGAACCGTGTCTCCCTGTCTCTCTGCCCCTTCCCTGCTCACACTCTGTCTCTCACTCTCTCTCGTGTGCAAAAATAAATAACCATTTAAAACATCAAACACACACACACACACACACACACACACCAAAAATAATCCTGATCCTGATGCTGCTTTGCTGTGCTTGAATGAGGGAGGGGGCTTCGAGCCGACACTGTTAATCACAAAAGGGTATTAAATTAAAGTGAAACCATACTCATCCAAACAGTATCAGAAGAATTAACCCTCATATAAGGAAAACTTGGTAAAAAGGGAAAGGACTTGAACAGAATCATCCCCTTTAACTCACTAATTAACTCACTTCAAGAATGCTAATAAAATGATCAGAGAAAGGAAAAATTTGACACACAAAGATATTCATAGTGTAGTTATTTCCGATTTTTAGCTTTTATAAGTAATAGGAAAGTGGTTTAAAAATTATGACACATTCACACAATACTAAATATAATTAAAAATCATTTTAAGAATTTTATCAATATGCAAAAAAATATAGTGAGTATAAGTTTAAGTAAAGAAAAAAACCTAAAAGCAGGATACAAAAAGCGTGAGTCAACTGTGTTTATGTGTGCATTCCTAAAAATAAAACAAATAAAAAATTTAAAGGAAATATGCCAAATGTTAGCAATCATTGATTTTTTTTGTTTGTTTCTGAAATTATGAGTGGGGTTTTTATTCATTTTTTTTAATTTCCAAGGTTTCTACCATAAATATATGCCATTATTATTTTTAAGATGGGGGGGGCAACAGCATAATGAAAGTACAATCTAATTTGCTGTCATACTCCACACCAAAAGACTGCTTTGATGAACAGAAGCACAGATTAAACAAGATTTAGCCTGTTCATCTAACAGGTCACTGATCTGTAAAAATATCAGATGTTTTCAGATTTTTCAAATCATTTATTATTAAGCAACTAGTTGGAGTGTAGCCAACTTAATTAAACAAAGAACAGGAGATGGCCCCATCCCCAGAACAGTCCCTGGGGGGCAAGACTCTCCCTTCTTCACCTTTGTACTGCCAGAACCTCATGCCTGCAACAGAACAAGATCTCAATAAATATGTATTGAAAGAATGAAAGATTAGAAAATATGCTACCATAAAATCACAGTTCAGAAGCCATCCGTTTCATTCATTCGTGTACTCAAAGTTTTATTAAGCACTTATTGCATGTACATATGAGTAGGCATGAGCAGCCTTCAAGACCAGGCAATGACCTATGGCATTCCCAATACATAAACAAATAAAGAACTTCACATAATAAGAAAGTTATATGAATAAAATGCTAAGGAGGTTAACAAGACGGAAGAATTTCTCCATGTGGAAAATTATGAGAAGGCTTTTTAGGGGGCAGAGGATTTGAACAGAGTCTTGAAGGATGGATAGAATTTGGACATGAGTGTGGAAAGTGGGGAGAAGGCATCTCACTGAAGTAATGAGAAAAGCAAAGTTTTCAAGGCAAGAATTTATAAGGCTTAGGGAAAACAAGAAGTGCTTCGGTTTGGCTAGAGCATGGAGACCTGAGGGAGGTAATGGAGGGGACGCTGAAGCCATGGGACCTGGTTACGTAGAGAGGGATTTGAGTGTCAGGTTGAGATTTGCTTTCTCCCATAGATAAAGGAGAAAAATGGAGAGTCTTTGAGTAGTTGAGTGACCTGGGCAGAGAAATGCTTTAAGGGGACACTTGGGCGGCAATTCATAAAATGAATGGGAAAACGGGCAGGCAGAGCCTTAAATGGGGTAGAGCTCCCCCTGACAAAAACCTCCAGTGAACAGCTGGGAATATTCAACCAGCTAAGCAGCTGGAAACTCAGCTCTTAGTTCCCTCAATCATCAGAACTGCCCCCAGCTCTCTGCTGCTGGATTTCCTTTAAGATGAGATGCTAAGGACCAAGCTTTAAGAGTGATGCTTGAACCCTAGGCTCAACCACCAGCCCAATTCCTCCTCTGCGACAGAAGCGCTTGAATTGCTTTGCAAATATATGCAGATACATGCGAATAATATATCCATTAACATGTGCCCCAAGCCTCAAAGGGAAAGGTTTGCTTTGATCAAAGCTCATAATGGGATATATCCAAGGGGCAGAAAAACAATATCCTGCTCAACCCAAACAAGGGAAGGCTTAGGTTCTGAAACAGAATGCCTGGTCTTAGTAACTGCTATTCATTGAAATATTAGGGCATATGGCTTTCTCCTTCTACTTCTCTGTTTCCTGAGGCTGGAATTTCCGTAAAAGATCTCTCTGCTTCAGTTTAGCATGGCTGCAAGTACTGATGAAAACGTGTGTGTGTGTGTGTGTGTGTGTGTGTGTGTGTGTGTGTGTGCGCTGAATATGACCCTCTAACCTCCTTAAAGTATGGTCTACAGACCAGTAGCATCAACACCATCTGGAAGAATGCAGATTCCAGTGTATGTGTGCGTGTGTGTGTGTGTGTGTGTGTGTGTGTGTGTGTGCTGAATATGACCCTCTAACCTCCTTAAAGTATGGTCTACAGACCAGTAGCATCAACACCATCTGGAAGAAGCCAGATTCCAGTACTAGTGAGTCAGAATCTGCACTTCAACAAGATGCCAGGTGTGCATTATAATGTGAGGGGCACTGATCTAAATAACCTAAGTAACTACAATTATAAACTCTTAAAGGCCAGGACTCATTCTTATTTACCCTCATATCCCCCAGGCATGG